CATTTCGTAGAAAAAATTCATTTTACGACGTTGGAGTGACTTCAGATATTGTTGGGGTATACCACTGTTCGTTTTTATCAAATATAGTTGAAATTATTCCCTTAAACAACGTCAGAGACAAGTGTTATAGAATGCCTTATTGGAGCGAGGTTAAAGATCAAGAAGAGCAGGCACTTGAAAATCAATGGATATGTTGTTCATTGTTGAATATACATCAAATTCCTCAAAATTAAATTTTTTTTGCAAAAATGGCTGTTTTATGAGTAACATGTAAGTTTCTTTATTTAAAATGAATTTGGAGCTTGTGTGGCTTGCATGGTAGAACTTTTAGTCATAATGCGCTGTTAGTTGCAAATTAGCAATAGCTGTTGCTTTTGCAGTTTTCACATTAAACAACTCAATAAACTTAGGATTTGTCTTTTACAACGATAATATTGGAAAAGCGATTAGATTAGCATTCAGCAATTGAATAATGTGTAGTCATACGATTAATTTAAAATAACAACTATGCTTTTGCGGTATTCAAAATCATAAACAGGTTTCTGAAAAACTGGTTTTGTAATCGGTTGCCGGTTTTAAAGACGAAACCGGTTTTTTTAAAAAAAAAACCGTTGTAAGAAAAATTAGTTTATTATTAAAAGCGTGTTCTTCTTTTAAAAAAGTTTTTTAATCAAACCATTAGTTACGTAAAATATTCAATATGGGTAAGAATTCCTGAAGTGGAATCCTAAATCTTTTTGGGTCAATAGATTTTTTTCATTCTTATATGTTTCGATAGTTTATGATGGTACAATAAAATCCTGTTAATAGTTTTCCGAAATTCAAAATATTTTCAAAAGTTGTTAAGGGTCAAAGTTTTTTGTAGCGTTTTAGTAAATAGCCAATTACTTGCGATCGGATGAACCGATTTTAATAAAAATTGAAGGAGAGCTTAATGAGAAGTCGTACTTGAGATATACGATAAAAAATTTAATTAAGAACTATAATTTATTTAAATGAATTAAGTTTTTAATTTTTGAGGTTAAAAAGCAATCTGTTTTGTATTTATTTTGCAAAATTTTTTTAATGAATCGAATAGAGAAAACTTTTAAGTTTTTATTTCAACAATAAAAAAGTGGGATTCTCAATGACTTGATGAAATATAATATTTTTAGTTACAAAAATTTTTTAAAAAGTAGAGATTTAAAATAAAACAAATGAATTCGTGTCAACTTCAAGCTTTTTGGCAAATGTTTAATTGTTAATGTGCAAGTCTTTTTGACTTTTGAAAAAATCCACCGACCCAAAAAAATTTAGGGGCCCACTTCAAGAATTCTTACACATATTAAATTCATCGTTTTAATTTAGAAATTAACTGCGTATATGTTTCATTATTTAATTAAAAGTTTCTTTAAACACTATATTTATATAATACATAATTGTATTAATTAATAATGAAAAATGCACTTTGTAGATTAAGTATATGAAATAAATAGTTCTTGAATAAATTATTGAATTAAGAATTGGGTTAAATTGACTGGTATTTTAAAAAATACTAGTTTTATTTAAAATACCTTAAATCGAGATTTTAAAACTGGAAACCGGTTTCCAAAAATAGCGGAAAGAAGATCGGTTTACCGCACAGGCCTAGTAACAACGCCATTTAATAACAAAATAGAAATTTTAATTTTAATATCAAATATTTTTAATTAAACTAATTTAAAAATAAAGTGTTAAACTTGATGCTTCATGCACTTAAATATACTGCTTTTTACTTTTAGTTGCCACAATCATTTTTTTTTTTTTTTTTTTTTTTTTGCTTAGGGACTATTGGGAAAATCTGTATACAGATACCTTGGCTTCCGCATGCCAAGGTTATGTGGGGTTGGTAAAAAAAAAGGAGAACAATAAACAAAATAAGCTGGCGACCTACTACCAGCCCCGACCCACTAAAACCCGTCAACCCTTCTTGGGAGCCCTTTTATCCACCCTCGGTACTGTCGTGAAGACTTTTGCCTTCGAGGGTGGCGCTCCAACTCTGTCGCAAAAGCGACTTCGTCCATTCCTGCGGACATCCTGCGTTATCAATTTAAAATAAATCTAAAATCAATGTCAAGCGGAATCAACAGCACACCAGAAAAGAAAACAATAAAAAGTCAGTAAATAAAATAAAAGTAAAATAAATATATAATAAATAATAAACAAAAGTCAAAAATAAAATTGTAAAAAGACAGATGAACAAACAAAATATAACATAAAAGTGTAAAAAGACTAAAATAAATAAATAAATAAACAGAAAATTGTAAAAAGACTATAAAAGGACAAAATAAATAATAAAATAAACAAATAAATAAATAAAAACTGTACACTGTCAATTTCGCCTATCTGCGGCCATCGAGATCCTTTCTCATCATAACAGAGATGATAAAGGTCTCGATGAGCCGCCAGTTTTCCTGGGACTGGATCATCAGCGCTACCATGTTCTCCGGTGTAACTGTAGTGTTTACACCGGTGAACATGGCCTGCCTCTCCAAGTCCCAATGACTGCAGGCAAAGAGGGTGTGCTCTGCGTTGTCCACAGGGAACTGGCAGTAAGCACACACCTCACTCTCTTTCTTCTTAAAGCGCTGCAGGTACGAATTGAAACATCCGTGACCTGTCAGCGCTTGTGTCAAATAGTAGGAGACCTCTCCATGGCTCCTACTTAACCAAGTGGCGAGTGTCGGTATAAGGGGATAAGTCCATCGACCTTTTACCTCCCCATCCCATCTCTCCTGCCATTTTTCTACGAGCCTGCGCCTCGCTTCGAAGCGGATGCGGTCCTTGCTGGGTCGATCTTCCTCTTCAGAGGAATTCGCCTCTTTGAGAAGGAGGACAATTTCCTCCCTCTCAAGCGCCAAGAGATCTGCTGGCGGGACACTTGCAAGGACCTGCACAGCGCTCGTTGATACTGTCCGATAAGCAGAGGCAATACGTGAAGTAATGCATCTCTGCGCGGACAGCATCTTTTTACAGATGGTTGAACATCTGTTTGTTCTCAGGGAGGGGGCCCACGCTGGCGCTGCGTAAAGCAGCTTAGCGTGGGCGACACTCGCCACCAGTCTCCTTTTCTTTTCACGGGGGCCACCAACATTTGGCATCACCCGTGCTAAGTTAGCCGCACATTCGATCGCCTTGTTCGACGCCGTAGCCATGTGGTGATGGAAGTTTAACCTTCCATCCAGTTCCACACCAAGGTACTTTATCTGTCTCCTCCACTTGACCTCGAATTCGTCTATCACGATTCGTGGGGATTTATAACCACGTCTGTCTGTGACCAGCAATGCTTCGGTCTTTTCCAGGGCCATTTGAAGACCTCTGGTTTCCAGCCAGCATTTTGCTAGCCGCAGACATTCGTTCACCAATGTCCCCAGAGCTTCCGCCGAGTCGGCAGCGCACACGATCAACGCGTCGTCCGCAAAGCCGACGATCACCGCACCTTCGGGCAGGTCCATTTTCAGGAAGTCATCGTAAGATACATTCCATAAAAATGGTCCTACCCTCGAGCCTTGAGGGGCCCCACGCTGCATCTCTTCCTTGAGAATGCAGGTGTCTCCCTCGTAAATAACCCACCTGTCGCTTAGATAATTATCCATTATCCGCAACAGGTAGGGCGGTATACCCTTCTGTATCATCGACTCGATGAGATCTTCCCATCTCGCGGAATTAAACGCGTTCCGTATGTCGATTGCTACCAACGCGCAGAAGCTCTTCTTCTTATCTGGACCCAATTTGTTTTTCCCTTCTCTGGCGAGGTCCACAACTGCCTTTATGGCATCAACTGTGGACCGACCTTTGCGGAATCCAAATTGGTTATCGGATAGACTATTCTCTCCGGTCAAGTGAGATTGCATTCTCTGCAGAACCATGTCCTCTAGAAGTTTGCCCATCGTATCCAACAGGCATATAGGCCTGTAGGATGAGACCTTATCTAGAGGTTTGTCTCCCTTTCTTAGGAGGACCAGCCTTTGCCTCTTCCAGTCTGGAAAGAACTCTCCTCTCTCTAGGCAGCGATTGAAGATGTCCAGCAAAATCTGGGGGGAAGCAACAATCACCTCTTTTAGGATCTTGTTGCTTATGCCATCGATTCCAGGCGCCTTGCCTGTCTTCAATCTTCTACCTGCTGCTTCCAATTCTTCAAGAGTAAAGAGTTCTTCCTCTGTGACTATGCAAGAACTCCAGTCCTTCCTAAGCCACGGCTCTGCAGGAGGAAACAGGGCTTTTATTACCTTTCTGACCCAATCGGGATTGTCCAGGCCGGGGGTCTTTTGCCTCGTTACTAATTTCTTAGTAACGATTTTAAAAGCCAGACCCCATGGGTCCTTCTCGACGTCCTCGATTAGGTCCTTCCAGCTACGGCGTCGCGACGCGCGGATCTCTTTGCTGAGGTTCTTTTTGGCCTCCTTGTATGCTTCCTTGAGCAAAGGATCTCCCTTAGATCGGGTATATGTCCTTCTTGCTCTGAAACATGCCTTTCGCAAGGAGGCCAACCTTTCTGACCACCAGTGCAAGGATCTCTTCTTGGGGAATGTGCCATTGCGACGCGGCATTGACGCATCGCAGGCGGTGACGATTATATTTCTCACCGCCCGCACTTCCCCATCAAGACTGTTCGGCCTCCTTACCCAGCCCAACTCTTGAATTAAGCGGGCTTCTAGAAGGGACTGGCCGAACTTCTCCTTGTCGAGTCTCTTAGTGTTCCACGAGGGGCTTTTTCGACTAGGAGCTTCCTGTCTTCTGCCTCCTCGTGTGTCTCCCACTGAGACTGAGAACTCGATGTACTGGTGGTCACTTGCGGTATAATCCTCAGAGACCCGCCAGTCGCATATGCGGCTAAATATTTTGGAGGATGCGATCGTTAGATCTATAATGGATCCGATCGCATCCCTCCGAAACGTCCATGTTTTCCCCCGGTTTACAACTACTAGGTCGTTTATTAAAAAATACATTTTATTTAAGTTTTCATAATTGTATAGATCATGGAAAACAACATGGAACCGAAGAAGCGTTAAATGTTTAGTAAAAATCAAGTAAGAGTGTAGAGTAAAGGGAGAAGCATTACCACTCCCAAGAACGTTTTGTCTACTTCCGAGGATGAATTACAAATAAAAAAGCCCAAAAAATCATCTTCCTTGGGTGAAAAAATGGATACTTTAAAAAAACTAGCAGAAAAATTACAATTGAAAGGAACTACAAATATGTAAGTAATTTTGACATTAATTTTATTATATTCAACAATAGAGGTGTGCAAAAAGTTCGGAGCTCGATCGAGCTTTTCGAATTTCGAGTTGAGCCGAGCCTTATCAATTCGAGTTCAATCAAGTCGAGCTGTGTAAAATGCTCGAACATTTTTTAGTATTCGTGCTTTTTCAACTGCACTCGAGTGCTCGTAAGATTCGAGAACTCGATACTTCGAATCAAGCTCGGGCTCTGCTCGATTCATCCATTCAAGTTTTTTGCACACCTCTATCCGACAAGTAAAATTACTGAATATACGAAAAATAGATTTGACACCCTTAAAAAATGGACATTTCGTTGTTCATCTGTGAACATAATACCTATTCTTATTAGCAATCTACTTTTAACTTAAATGTTTTTTCTTGCTTTTATTGACTGTTAATCTGTGAAAAAAGAATTGATCATTTTTAAATATTTTTCTGGGTTTCTTCAATTTACTTTTTTATTTATTTTTGCTGCTCTCTACTTCATTCTTCGATATGACCTGTGATGGAAAATTTTCCACCAACCAAAAAGACAAAAATTTATAAATATAATATTCAAAATTATCCTTCTAAATTTTAATATTATGTATATAAAATAAAATGTTTTAGTTAAATGGCTCTGTAGATTCAAAAAAACATTTTTACACTTTTTCAAGGTCCGGTGACAAAAATTCTGCTAATCCAGTAATTGTAGCTGGTTCCGATAATTCACCAATACTTCGTGTCTCTCAAGTCACACCAATCCATTCGAACCAAAGAAAAATTGATAATTTGTAAGTGGACTTAACTTTTTTATTTTCTTATCTTATGCTACACCATTGGCTGTAAACCCTTAAAAATGAGTTTTAATTATATCACTCAATATTATCCTTCAATTACTAGATATTCCAGAATATTTTTTACACTATTATCTAAAAAAATTTTCTTTTTAAGGTCTCAAGAAAAGGATATTGTTGATGATTTAATAGCTGCAGCAAATTTCGACAATTCACAAATGCTTCGCTACTCGGAAAGTGAAAAATTAAAATTAAATGAGAAAAAAGCTGTTAATTTGTGAGTGAATTTACTCTTTTCCATCTTCATATCATGTACTGATTTGGACTTATCAACCTACAAAAGATACATAGTTGAATCTATTGAATTTAAACTAATTGTAAATTTGATATTTCTCAGGTCTAGAGATGAGAATTCTTCTGTTGTGGCTGACTTATTAATTACATCCAGTACTGCCAATGCATCACTTTTTTCCGACTCTGGTAAAAAATCTGACAAATCAAATAAAAAAAGTTTAGATAATACGTAAGTGAATATTTTTACTTTTTAAAATTATTTTAAATTAGAGATAACTGATATTTTATTTTAAAATATTCAATACATAAGAAATTTTTTGGAACTTTTATTTCCTAAGGTTAACAATAAATTTATTAATATAAAGGTCGCAAGTAAGGAATTCTGATGGTTCTGAAGAAGTGTTTAATAATAATTTGGGGAAAAACCCACTGTTTGATTCCAACATCTCTGAAACTAGCAACAGGATCGAAACTTTTACCGATATCCCAATCTTAAGCGTTCCTCTAGGAGCATTTGCAGAGTATGGTGAAATTTCTAAACATCTGCAGTTAGTATAAAGTTTATAAATTGTTTTAAAAACATAAAATTTTGTGAACATTTAATTTTTACTTTTTTATTTAATTTGAATTATTTTCTATTTAAATATTATTTAAAAGGGTTCTGGAAGCGAGAGTGGATGAAATTCATCAAAAAAACGAAGAGATTTTTAATCAAAATAATGAAATCCTTCAACTATTAAGGTCACGTTTCAGTACTGAACAACTGGCTAATAAATTATATCAGCACTTAGAAGGTTTTCCTCTTAGCACTGTAGAGCAGTTCTCTAATTTGGAAAAACAAGCAAATAAACATGAACGACAAAAAGTTGTAAGTGGTTTTTATTTATTTTTTTTAAAGAGAAACTTTAACTTCTTGATAATCAATAGTTTCATTTGCTGATTTTTCTTGAACAATTTTTAGCATGACCATTTAATACGATTAGGTGGTACAAGTTTAAAAGAATTCCTGAGTTGTGCACTTCGTCAAATTATGACCGACGAATTGGTCTTAAAATACACTTGGCAGAAGCAAAAATGTACTGAAAAATTTGGAGACACGAGGATTTCTAATATTTTATACCGTAAGTTTTTATACCTCATTCAGCACAATATTTTGTTAGAATCTTGCAAAAACCTTTCCTCATTGAAATTCAATAATTTTAATTTATTTAGACGCAGTTTTTGATTAAAACTAATAACATTAATTCCAATTAATAAACATTCTGCCAGTCATACGATAAAATTTAACAATTTTTGAATTATTGAATTATTGAATTACTGAATTATTGAATGAAAACTAGAGTTAAAACTCCACTCCGTAACATCAGTTTTTATTCAATGTTTCAGTTATTTTACCTTTTCTTGAAATTTTCTTTAGTGATTTGATTGAAAATTATTAAATCTTAACGTATGGCTGTCAGAATTATAAATAATTTCAATTAATTTTCATATTTTTTAACAAAATACCGTAAAAGCGTGATTTGTCTTTCTTGAGAGAATCACAAGAAGCGTTACGTTTTCATGTAATTTAATGGTTTTAAAAAATGTTTAAGTAAATATATGGAAGTATTTTGTAACTAAAGATTTATTAATGTTGACTTTAAGAGTTTTAGTTTGTTTTAATCTTATCTCAATACATGGGCAAAAATATTCATTTTATTTAGAAAATAATTGAATTTTTCAAAAATTCGTAATTAATGTTATTAACAGCACAAGAAAAAAAGTAAATATCTTTGATGAAAATTTTTGTAATTCTTGTGAGTTATCTGAAACAAATTTCTTTAGTCGTCAAATTTAATTTTTCGATATCTATTTTTTTACTACTTTTTGAGTCTTGAAGCTATTTTTTGCTATCTCATTTTCAGAATCACTTTTTTTTAAAAAAATCCCCTTTTTCTTTTGAAAAATTCCCCTATTTTTAAGTGAAAATACCACTGTGATCCTTATATTACTATACAAAATTTGGTGTTATTGATATATTAATATTATCAAAGATATATATAATATCAATATTTCATAGATATTTCCTTAAAATTTTATAGAAGCTGCTGTGAACTGCCCTTTATTCTCTGGACCAGATAGTAAGGCGGCGTTTAAAGAAGCTATGCTGGGGGTATTAAAATCTACGAAGCAAAGGTGTCGTAACAAATTAAAAAAATTTCCGAATCACGACTTTGAGAAAAGGGTCGAAAAAGCAATTGAAGATATAAGTGCTATATTAGAACCAGAGGCTGGCGATGGTGGTTCAGAAGCCGATGCGGAAGATGAGAATGAAAGTGGAGATGAATCATCCGATATTGAAGAAGACGAGAATTTTAATTAATCAAAATCAGTGAAACTGATTTTTAGTGTTTCGTCTAACTCACGCTCTTAATTAAGCAACCTTTTTAACTTTGTTGATGTTTTAAGGGATAATTACGGTAAATTTGAGGTTTTTTTCAAAGATTTTTTTTTAAAGTACAAAAAATTATTTGTTACTTAAATTTTTTTTTAAATAAAATACTCCCCTTAAAAATCTCCCCTTAAAACGATAGAATAATATAAAATTTTTTTTTATTAAACATGTTGTATATGAGATGCTCTATGTGTTTATTTATGATGCAAAAAAGTTTTAAAAAAATATATATTTATGTATATATATTAATAAATATTTAAAAATAAAGAATAATTTTTGTACCTATTTCTAATGTTACTACGTTTCTTGAGATTTTTCTTTTCATTTTTCTTATTATTAACTTTAAATAGTTACTTTAATAACCTCCAATAATATTCGGCATTTTTATCCAGCATTTTGCCGGCACGTGTGTGTCGGAAACACGGTCCGGCCATATAGCCAGCAATAGCACGCACATTGAGCTGCTTTCTGGCCGGCCCATCGGTTCGATCAATTAGACTACGGTCCGCGATATAGCCAGCCATTATGCAGGCATTTTGTTATCTGGGAATATACTTACCTCGATTAATTTCAGATTACCCTATTAATATCGGTTTTTTTGAAATCGTGTACCCCCCCCCTTCTAGCGACCACACAAATTTATCTACAGGGCTGAAATTTAGTACACATATGGGGAAATCTTACGTGCTAGTTACGAATTGCGTACTGCGATATCGGTGCCGCAAAAAACCTCCAAATTGTCAATTTACATTTAATTTACATTTGTTAATACTACTCACGAGTGTGAAAAGTAAAAAATGGTCTTGTTAGTCAAAATTAGATATTTAAACAACATATTTCTTCACTGAAATCGAAGAAATAGAGAAAATTCTGATGTAACTCGCATTAAATCTAATTTTTATTTAACGATAACTTTTTGAGCAATCGTTTTTAATGCTTGGGGTTTTTTGACATTCATTTATGGATTCTGAAGGATTAAAAATTGTGTATTAGACAAGTGTGCCACTTGTGATATGCGAGATAATGAGCTATTCATAAGTGTAACTACATTTTTGCTGATTTTTGAAAATCATCAATTTTCTTATAATACTTTTTGAGCGATCATTATTTAACATTCGCACATATAAAATTTTCATTTTCAGCTATCCAAGAAAAGAAATCTGGGTGATATAACATTGTGCCACTTAACATTTCTATGTAATCGTTCTGGGCAAACGCGCAACGAGTGCGTAACTCGTTCCCAAAAACATGGTTTTTCGACGAGCACAACAAATTATACGTAAAAAAAAGTACATATCCTTTTGTAATTTGTTGTTTTAGTATAAATAAATATGTGTGAAAAAGGCTCACCCTCAAAATTAACATTAAGGGTTGATATTGGACAATTTTTCACGAGAAAATTGGTTCATTAGTCTGTTTAAAGTGGCCTTGAAGAAAAAAATATATTGGAACGATCCCGGGTGGAATTTTGATGAATGTAGGTTTAGGCAAATGTAAGGGGGTGTTTTTTAAAGGGTTGTAAAATATTTGTAAATTTTCAAAAATGAAAGAGATAAGTAAAATTGCCCTAAAATATCAAAAAAATGGAAAACTTGTTGCTTTTATATATATGTACATGTGTTTGGTCTTAAGAAAGTATTATTTAAAACTGAATTATCTACAAAATCATCGATGGGGTGATATATACCTCTATTTAGAAAAATTATATCAAATCCATGAAGTTTCATTATTATTATAATTATAATTTACATCTTGTCAGGCACTTATAAAAATTTTGAAATTTATATGAAATGGTTAATTTCGATATTTTTTCCGATTACGATTTTCGTCCTTCTTTCGCCACAGAGATGATTTCTTTCTTGGGGTAGCTTTTCTGAGTATAAAACGATTGATATCAATAAGGATATCATCACAGTAAAAATAAAATCTTCTATAAAGATTACTCGTAAGTTTAATCAGTCTTAAAAATCAAGATAGTTTTAATTTAAATAGAAATTAGTGTGCATCTTAAAATAAAACTCATTTTCCTCCTTGAAATAAAATTCTATTTTAATTGTGAACATGTTTTTACGTTTATGATTAAGAAAAATGGAGTTAGGAACTTTGTTTGAAAACATTTTCTCTTAAAAATACGTTTTACCTGCACTCATAACCACAAAAATGAAAAATATGGTTTAAATCGAGTAGCTATTAAGAAATATGAATTACACGGGTAAAAATTTACTTATATTTGGTCCAAAAATAATAATTTATGGTAGAAAAAAGTGTGCGACTAAATTGAAAATAATTTTTTTTTTAAACAAAAAGAACCCAGCTCGTGAGATTTGCCCATATGGGCAAATCCACAGAACCGGCCGATTTTTACTTATCAAGATGAAAATTTTCCAAATAGCAAGCACACCTTTTATTTATGGTTTACTTTCTTTAAAATATATTCAAGAAGAATTATCTTCTTGCGTGATTCATTTTATTTTATTGCCGTTTGAGTTAAAAGCCAAAAGCGAAAATATTATTTTTCTTCTGGAAATTATAATTAAAAATGGCATTTCTTTGTTTTTTTTATATACTATTTGAAATATGTGCAAAACATTTTGAATAATAAAATATGATAAAATACAAATAATTAATTTTTTAATTATCAAAAATAAATTATTTATATTTTATCATATTTTATTATATATTTTATTTATTAGCATTTAATTTTTTATTTCTGTAAATTAAATTGTTTACTTACTAATTTTGATATTAACTATTTTAACCAACAAACTGACATTATTGACATCGATTTTGATATAACTTTGAAAATAAAACAAATGAAAGGATAATTCATTTTTCACGATTAACTAGTTAAATTTCGATAAATTTTTTTTTATTTTTAATTTGTAGACGTTATAAATTGAAAATATAATTTGGCGTTTGCATACAAGAATTATAATAATGTCTTTATATAATCACACATGTTTTCAACTCATCATATTTTATCCTGTAGTCGTGCTACTGAAAAAAGGCTATGTTGAAAATGGTTCACGCTTAAACATAGAGTGATAATTATTGGAATATTTTCTTTAATTCTGATTGCACTCTATTCTATGATACATACATTTGTTCGTCTGTTCACAAGCAATAAGCTCCAATTTGAAAAATTCAAATCGAATAATCGCCGCAAAATATATTTACAAAAATGTATAAACATTTCATTATTATAAAATAATGAGTAACGCCCCTCACAACACAAGGATATTCAGGATATCCCTGGGACGTCCTGGGGATATCCATTTGCTTTTGGCGATTCGGATATCCCTAAGATATCCTCTGGATATCCATGGACATCTCTAAGATATCCCAGGGATATCCAAACCGCCGAAAACAAATCGATATCCCCAGGACGTCCCAAGGATATCCTGAATATCCTTTTGTTGTGAGGGGCTACTTTCAACGACTATCATTTCTTTTTATTTAAGAGCACATATTTTTTATTACTTTCAAAACATTCTTCAATAAGTAAACTATAATTCACCACAGTTTGGAATTGTTCGGATCTATGCCGAACAAGTTATACCTATAAGAATTAAAATTTATACCTGGAGTAACACCGTAAATTCCATTTTTTAAGTTACTTAATTCGATTTTATTTTTTATAAAAGACTAGAAGGTTCACATTTATTCAATTTTCTTATTTCAATAGGTTCTCAGAGATATTACAAAATGGTTGAAGTATGAAAATAATTAATATAATACTTCTAAAATAGAAAAATATGTGAGTAACATGAAATCGGCCGGTTCTGTGGATTTGCCCATATATGTATTTTCGCGTGTAGATTACAGGAAAAGTATAGCGAACTTGATTAAAATTGATTAACATAATGTTGTCAAGAACAAACCATGAATTTTTAAGAAAAATGCCTAAAAATGACTATATACCCCCCTCCCCTAGCAGCAACATCTTTTGACATAGAGAGCTCAAATTTGGTACACTTATGTATTTTTACGTGAAAATTAAAGGAAAAATATAGCGAAATTGTTTCGGATCGATTTACATAGCGTTGTCAAGGAAAAATAAAAAATTTCGAAAAAAACGGTTTTATCCCCCTAACGCACACAATATTTAACCCAGATAGTTCATATTTGGTGTATGAATGTATTTTTGCGTGAAAATTACAGGGAAAAACATGTGAGCACGATTGGAGTTAATGATTAATTTTTATCAAATTGTTAAAGAAAAATGATAATTTTAGGGAAAGAAATGTATTTTTCGACATAGACTCTAAAAAATATTCTTTGCAACCGTCTTAAAAATTAAGGAGGAATAGTAATACAAAAACTAAAGACTTTAATGAAAAAGTTCTCCCTCAATTCTTATAAGAGAGATTCTTTTTCAATCGCCCCAGCCCAAAAAGTCAATGTTCTGGGATTGGCTTCATACTTTGGTAAATTGTTCTCCTATATGATAGTAATAAATCCCTAAAATATAAACTCATTAAAAAAATATTTGTAGAAAGTAAAGGGGGTTGAAGTTTTGACGTTAAGGGTAACATTGTCATTTTCAAATCCGTATAACTATGACAAAAGTTAATGGATTTTAATTTATCTATAATGAATTTTATTGCATTTTTCACGTACTTTTCAAAAATGTATACGAAATTTAAAAAAAAAAAATTTTAACCCCTTTTTTTTCAAAATCAACCCTTATTTTTCGATTTTCACCCCTTTGGGTATTTTTTTTTTTTTTTTTTATTTTCATTGGAAAGCTGAGGTTTTTTCCCATGAGCTATGTAAATATGAAAATGGGACAACAATAATTTTGTGAGTAACAGAATATTAAAGTAGGCGGTGCCGATAAGGGGTGTACCTGGAGATCATCTTTGAGGATTTAGATAGGCACCGCCTAATTTAATATTATGTTTCTCACAAAATTATTGTTGTCCCATTTTCATATTTACATAGCTCATGGGAAAAAACCTCAGCTTTCCAATGAAAATAAAAAAAAAAAAAAAAAAAATTCCCGAAGGGGTGAAAATCGAAAAATAAGGGTTGATTTTGAAAAAAAGGGGGTCAAAAATTTTTTTTTTTAAATTTTGTATACATTTTTGAAAAGTAAGTGAAAAATG